TTCTTGGTAAAATACATTCAGCTTAGTGACTCGGCATGAAAAACATCCGCAACTATCTATTCTCAAGTTGTAAAACAGATTTTCTCAGGATTTAGGACTGAACCTTTTTTCTGGGCCAATCTAATCCAGGACTATGTACCTGGCCTGCCTTGATCTGATTTGACCAGATTTCTGACTAAAGTGTTAAAGCATACTAAGAGTGATGACCTGCTACCCACCATGAGCCCACTCCTCCTAGGGTTGTCACGATACTAAACTTTTCAACTCGATACCGATACTAAGGAAAATATTCGATACTCGATACCATTTTCGATACCACAAGGATAAAAACAAAGACTCCAAAAGTCTACAGAAATATTTTCATTAATAAATAAAATACAATAAATAAACACAATAAAGGTTGTATGCTGTGCATAATATTAAGCAAGCTTGATAAAAAACGTATAAAATTCAAATTAAGTGTTCCTTCCTTGGCTATGCTTTGCACACATAACAATGACACTAGCCAAACCAGTTAAGAAACAAAAATCATTCTCAGCAGCTGCACCTGTTACAAAAAAGAAGTCTGAAACTGAAAAGAGCACAGAATTATTCACTCACACAGTGTTCTGAGCATTGTCCTATATTCTGCACTTTAGATGAATGACTGCTTAGGTGCCACTGGTGACGGCACTGTATCGATACTTTTAAAAACGAGTATTGTATCCGGATACAACATTTCAGTATCGATACTTTTTTGAGTTTCAATACTTTTGACAACCCTAACTCCAGTGTTGTGCCTGAACGCGTTCATTGAACGAAAGTTCATGAACTCGTTCATATTTTGGGCGAACGTGAACTGAACGTACTGTATTACCGCCTGATGAACGTTATTGTGAACTCGTTCATTCTGGTGTCCGTGAACGGCACGCTCTCTCAGTTCAACTCCGTTCAATAGGTTGCCAGATTTCTATAGAGCCCTCCAGGTGAAACCCCGGCTAAATCACACCGTAAACAGGCCTTAATATGTAGCGGGAAAAACACCCAATCTGGCAACACCAGCTACCAGCGTCGTAGTCTACAGCCGCGTGCGTCATCAAAACAAAATGCAGCGTGGAAGCCACAGCAGCATGGAGGCGACCGTGGATGCGACAAAGCAGCAGTATGATCACTTAAAACAGGTTTATGACCAGGTGGTCGGTGAGGATGATGGCAACAAGTTTGCCCGCCGGCTTTCAGTAAAAAAATCCGCACTTCAGTAACCTTAAATTCCTACCTCAGCCTGGTCCCTCAGTTTGTGTTAGGAGCTCTTTCAAGCTGGGCACCGTTTCCTTCACAACACCTGTCCCATCAACCAGGAATCACAATCAGAAATACTTTAATAATGCCAGGGAGAAATTAATTTATTTACATTACTCCATCTGTAATAGAGTGACTATAGGACCCCGCTCCATCTCGCCATCAGTTTGGGGGTCCTTGGTCTGGAAAACATAGAAGACCCCTGTTCTTGAGGGTTTTACTATCCATGTAACTTGTTTGTTAAACCTGCCTGGTATAATTTTCCAGGATTCCTTTTTAATATGTATTGAAATGGAATTTCAAATGGAAAAAATTATTAAAATAAAAAAAAACATTTGCACCTTAAAGACTACTTTCCTATTTTTCTTTTAATAATTCCTCATAAAAAAGACCATTCAAGCAGCACATTTTTCCTGATGTTTTTGAGAATATACTGTAGGGGTGAAGGCTGCAGCTGCTACTAGTGTGAAGTGAATGGACAGCAACAAAGCATTAAAGCAACAATGGGGAAATGCTGTCCCCTCAATGCTAATGTAAACCCTGGTTGGATAAGGATTCAAAACTGGATATGAAGATGAAATCTGACGCACAGTTTCAGTGTTACAACTGATAAAATAATGGCTGTCTGTGGTTCTACAGTAGGCTATGGTGTAATTGAGCAATACATGAAAAAAAAACTATGAACTAGTTCATTTTTTGGAACTGTGAACTTAGTTCAAAATTTTGAATTATGAACTATGAACTGAACTAGTTCATTTTAAAATGTGTGAACTGAACTTTGAACTAGTTCACGTAGAAAGAGAACTTTCCCAACACTGCCTAACTCCTCCATTAAGGTCTTGGTGTTTAGAGGGCAGCAGTTTGTCCTCTTCTGGAGCCGTGGAACTTCCTTTATCTTTGTTTAGTAGCTGAATTCTTCTACAGAATTTCTTAAACTTTCCCCTGAATTTTGGCCTCTGGAGGCAGAAAGGTTGCATCTGATTTATGTTTGGGTTTCAGAGATCAGAGTTTTGTTTGTAAAGCACTTACCCTGAAATCCCACATCCTCCATCACCTCCCCGTTCCGCTGCGCTCCAGACCTCCTGCCCAAAGCAAAGCCTACAGCCTCCCATCTTGCTTCACTCAGACTTCCTCTGAGCTCGAGGAGAGCATGCGCGATGTTATTAAATTAACAGGTGCAAAACATGTGAAAATGAACTCTTAATTTAATATGATGCATAAAAAAAAATCCCCATCAGCATCCAGCATATGTTCAGTTTTTGCCCAAATATTTTCTTCTTGTTGTAGATTTTTGTAACGGGGATAACTAGAATCATCCAAAACTGCCTTTTTATGAACTGTTTGTTCTCTACTCCCAAACTCGGTTGATAAAACTGTTAAGCATCTTGGTATAAAATAAATATTTTGATGGAGATGAGAAATCTGCTTCCTGGTATGTTGAAAAACCAATAGTTTGCAAATAAACAATGTTAGTTTTTTTGAATATATATAAGAATTCTGCTATAATTTCTAGTTTAACGATCTGTCGTTACTATGTTTTAATTTGACAAGCCGGATGTTTTCGACGTTCTTTTTCCTGTTTGGTGTGATTGCAATAGCGGATCTTGATCTAGCCGGACCGGAGGGGAACAAAAAATAGCTCGGCTCCGTATTTTGACAGTGACGGACAGAGAAGACGTACATGGACGGGGACGTGGGGAGGAGTAGCGGTGGATGTGGAACAGCTCTCATTGATTAACATGACAGACAAGTATTCCACATGACGTACGTGAGCGGGGCGGAGCGCTTTCGGAGTATTTCAAATCTGGGGGTCAACGGATCACAGTTATGTTCTGCATAGAATCCAAATAAAATACAATGGAACAGGAGAAAATTGGTTGATCAGAATGCTTGAATATTTCATATTTTCATCACTCTGTAACGATTTAGAGAAAAGCTACCATAAACCGTCAAACTCAGCAACCATAAAATCTGTTGGAGTTGAGGCATTTAAAAAAAAAACAACAGCTGTAGGTCATTAAATCTTAATGGCACCACCTCGGTCTGTGTTTTCTGTGCAGCCTCCACCTCAGAAGTTACTACCAGAACATGCTCAGACCCTGGAGAGATATGCATGGGAGTCGTTTGACCCTCACAGCCAAGGTAGATGCTTCTTAATACTTTGATCTGTTTTGGAGGAAGTGAATGACTTCAGTTCCCATCCAACCTAAGAGCATGAATCATTTGGATTGCACTGGCGGTGAGGGTAAATACGAACTTTGTTTGTTCTTTCAGTGACCTTCCTGCCTGAGAATGTGTTCCTACTTCTGCAATCTGTGGTGGTGAGTTTTTACCTGACCTTTTCTGCCTCACACACACAGTTTTTCATCATAGCCTTTACATGACAGCGATTAATGATTCAGTTGCATTGTTTTTTGTCCTTTTTGCCGCATTCTTACTCTTCCCTACTTGGCATCTGTGTCAGTGCTGTTAGACTTTTTAACTGCAGCTTTCAAGTTCTCACGTTTTGCTGTTCAAAGTGTTGAAATGTGTCGTTTTTCAACCACAAAGTATTTTCTCTATGTTTTCTGTGATAGCTTCCCACAAGGTAACACATGATAGTGAAGTGGAAGTAATATAAAACATGTTTCCCCTCATTTTGACATCTAAAAATCAGTGGCATTGACAGCCACATGTTCACTTTCCAGCTGGATAAAGGTACTAAGCTCACAGCAGACCTACAACTTCAATGCATATTAGTGTTAAATCGACCCAGTGCTTATATCTAGTGGAGAGTTTTGGAACAGAACTGGACCCACATGTTAACTGATGCTCTGAAACCCACCTTACCTGATTTCACGTAGAAGAAAAGTCAACTTTTATTTAGACCTGCAGAGCTGGCATACTTCTAAAGGCTTGAAGCTTTTTTTTAGATAAATGTTTATGCTGTTATACAAAGAGTTTATTAGAGAACTGAAAACCTTTCAGATGTAAATATTTAAAATATAAGCTATGCTTTATTTTATGCACTGCTGTGTGCATTGAAGTTTTAAACGTGCAATAAGTGGAGGCCTTCAAGTGGTATAACTACTGCTGTTAGGTTTGTTTGTATGTAAAATACCTTTAATAAAAGGGGAGGGTTTATGCCTTCTTGTTTTGCTGCCTGAGCTCATGTTATGAGGCTTTAAAAAGAAATCTGCAACGTTACAAGGCCGTTTGAATCTGTAGTTGTGTTTTTATTAGTCCTGGTTCTGACGGATCTGTTCTGCAGATGGCGTGTCAGGAGAAAGACACAGAGTCCCTGAAGTCCTTGCAGACTGAGCTGTGGTGAGTGTTGAGAAATGTCAGTTTTCCATCATGTGACGAGCAGAGTGAAATATTCTCTGGCTTTTTAGTTTTTTTCCATATTGATCACATGTTTTGTTTTTTCTCTCTTCAGGCCCTTTCTGACGGCAGAGCAGAACCACCTCCTCCACCTGGTGGTCATGGAGAGAATTGCACCATCTGGACAAGGCATTTAGAGCAGCCTGATTTGTAGCGGCTTCCTCGAGGGAGCAGCACTGTGTGTAATGGAATATTCCTGCTCCTTATGGGTCTGTTGTAAGGCCTGGAGAAGGCTTGTTTTCACCATTTAGAAACTGTCCTGGAAACAGATATTTTCTGTCACTCACTCATCTCATCCCGGAGCGAATAAGATGGCTGTGAATTTTAAGAAGTTTTAGATAAAAAAAAAACGTCTTCTGTAAGTTTGAATAGAGTTTATTAGTAAAAGACATGGCTTAGATTCCAATGTAAATACAAACAAACTGTCTAATGCATAGTTCTGTCAATGGTAGAATGTAACGCTTCCACCCTTCATCCCTGGATTGTTTTAAGGTTCACTTGTACAAATGTACTTTACATCAGATAGCAGCCGGCTACAGACAGAAAACAAAATACAGCTTAAAAAAAGCAAACTGAATACAAACATCTACAAAAATAGTTGGTTATATTGTACATAGACTAAGAGGGTATACATACCATATGAGTAAAATAAAGAGAAATTAATAAACGTACAATGAAATAAGGCTTTTGTTTCCATTAGTGTTCATCAGTATTGCTGCTCTGGCGAATGGCGGCACCCCTTCAGATAAAGGGCAGCAGTAACACCACTACCGATCACATGATGAACTATTTTATCTCAGTACAGTATCATCACAGGAGCTTCTTCTGAAGGCACGCATCTACCACAGCAGAACTGTTTTACTCCGAGTTAGTTTTTAGCTCAGCAGCAGACGAGAGCGAAGAAGCTGCGCACATTTCTCTGTGCTGCCAACCGCTGAAATTAAACCTGGACATACAGGATCTCACTAAAGTCAGCACACCGCTAACATTTTTACAAAGTGTATATATTTTTTCATTGGACAATACTGAAGGTATGACGCTACAATTTAATGGAAAGCATAATTGTGTGGATTTTCTGTCCCCTAAAAATAATTTAGCTGTTTTTTTGTTAATTTAACGGGTCTGGTGAGAATGGGGAAAAGCTTACACTAAGTTTACTGGAAGTTCAACATGGCATTTATAGCCATATATATATATATATATATATATATATATATATTTATATATACCTTATAGCTAAGAAAGATTAGTTCCTCTCCAAAGCTGACCTATAACCTGGCAAGCCTCGTCCTCTCGCTTCAGTTCTACACCAATGCACAAATCGCTTCTTACCGTTCCTCTTTTAATGATTAAAGTGACAATTCTGACTAAACAGATGTGAGCTTTTGCTTCCTACAGAGCTGTATGTCACCCTAAATCAAAATAATCTAACGTGATTGGCCGACTTGTGCTGGTCACCTCTCTCACAGTTGAGGAGAGGGTGGGATGAGGTAGATCTTCATGTGTTTGTGAATGAACGCTGATCAACAGTCAATAGTTGTAGCTTCTTTCATCATATTGGTCTGTATGGCTCTCATCCTAGAAAGAGGGATCTTAAAAAGATTAAGCCTGTTAACGGTTTGCTGAAGGTCAGCAGACTAAGAAGATAGATTAGTGCAGCAGAGAGTCGAGCATTTGTGGCAGCAGCCAAGCGAGGACCACAAAGATTAGTGTGTCTTTCCTAGAGTGAAGCACGATGGTCGAAGTATTAATGAGCATGATCTGGGTAGCAGGGCAGTCGTCTAACACGATAAAGACCCCAAACACACCTCCAAGAAGACTGCTGCCTTCCTGAAGAATCTGAGGGTAAAGATATTGACTGACCAAACGTGTCTCCAGTTCATAACTCAGTTGATATCTATGGAAAATCCTCCAACAGAAAGATGAGAAGTTCTCTGATATCCACAGGCTTCATCATGTCTTCAGAGGGGCAGTTGATCACCAACCTATGAAACTCTATTGAGGAGTAACTAAATATGAACACTTTCTATTTTCACTGAGGTGTGTGCTCACTTTGGTTTGCCAGCAGTTTAGACATTGATTGCTGTTCAGTCATTTTGATGGGACAGAAGTTTTAAACCGTTATGCAAGATTTACACTAAGCTAATCGAATCAAAGCGTCATACCCTGTGTTGTCACATCAAAAAAAGATTTTTTTTTTTTTTACTAATTTAAATGAAATATGGCAGGTGTCAACCGTCTTTATAGCTTCAGTCATAAGTGGAGTCCAATCATAATGGCCGTGCCTTTCATACTGATTTGGGGCTTTTATAATGCATTGAGCGTCTGTTTTTCAGGGTGGAATAAATCATTGTATGACTTCAGCAGTATTACTTTTAGTTTCTCTAATCTAAACAGGGTAAAAAAATAAAATAAAAATACTGCAATTATCAACGGAATTATCTTCAGCTGCTTGATTTCCAAGCATAGACCACATATCTTGCTCACCTGCTGGATTGTGTTAGAGTCCCAGTATCTGCCATCAAATGTACGGGTTCAGAGGTTCAGGAAGAACCCAGAAACCACCAAAACTCAAGCTAGTGTAGACTAGAAAACCTGGGTTAAGGGGCTGAATGGGTGCTCAGAAAAAAAATAATAAAATAGACAGATTAAAAGATGTACTCTAGAGACAGGTTATAGGACCAGAGAGGACAAGGATTTAGTGCTGTACAGACTGTAAAGCAAGGTGGGGGCAGCATTATGCTGCGGATTGCTGTTGGTAGCACTACTGTTAACAGGTCGCACAAAGTTGATGAAATAACGTTCATCCACTTCAACCTCATCTTAAGTCAATGACTGCATGGTTGATATCTGGATAGTTATGTGTCCCAAGCAGGCTGACATACTGGGATCACAGACCTGTTGGCTTTAACTGAGCTCTATTCACTTCTGAGAAACGGGTTGAATATTTAGCCTGAGTTATGCTAAGGCTTCAACATGTGTGTTTTCTCTTCGACATTTTAGGCTGCCAGCATAAACTGGATCAAAGAAGATTAAGGATAGATTCTAAGTTCTCTCAGTTATTATTCTTTAAAAGCATTCTTAAAAAAAACAAAACAAAAAAAAAAACAATTCACCCTCAAATTTATGCCTAATAGGAGAATATGTTCATTTCTGACTGGAACTCTACCAATTCCTTTTTTTTTATTCTTTAACCCTCTATCAAGTAAAATGAGCCAAACAGGGACTGAGCCTGGTGGAAATCTACCCAAAAACATTTCACACAAACTATTCCTTTAAATACGGATAATGTCTGGACTCACTTTTTAAACCTACAGGTTGCTACAGCCTAGAGATAAATAACTAATTGGTTTGGTTACACAGATGGAAGCTCTCCTCATTCCAATTTATTCAAATCCAAACAAAACAATTGGCTCGTTAGCATTAACACTTTCCCTACTGCGGATCAAGCTGACAGGATTTAAAACGATTAACAGGACTCCTTAGCCTGGCAGCAGAGGAACATGGACCCCACCCTCCTCCTCATCGCTCCTTCACCCGCTCCTTCACTCGGTCCTCTTCCGCAGGACGACGAAGGTGATGGTGAGAATGAGGGTGAAGACGAAGGAGATCCACGCCAAGACGTAGCAGTGGCCGTACCCTCCCTGTGTGTCGGTGGTGTGAAGCTGCGCTGTGTAAACGGAGGCGGCTGTCATTATACACAGGCCTGCAGGAGAAAAGCAGGGAAGGATGAAGATATGAGACTTTAGAAGAGAACATGAGAACTTTTTAACAGACACGAAAGTTAACAGCAGCAACATCAAATACGTTCTAATTAAAAACACCTTAAAGGAATAGTACACCCAAAACATGATTAGCCTTCATTTTCTACTCACCCCCATGCTGAACAACACTCTGGAGTACTTTTTTGATATCTCAAATGCATCTGGAGATCTGGGAGGCTTCTTGCTGTCTGCTGACATTCAAATAATGGAGGTCTATGGTGACCGAGACAGAAAGGTCCATAAAAGTCCACAAAAAACGTGTCAATATTCCTCCATACTGCTCGTCCAATGTATTCCAAGTGTCCTGAGTGGGTAGCATTTACTCGAAACGAAGTCATTTAGAATGTTTTTAGAGCATAAACAGTAGTGTATAGGATTTCCTGAAAGCGCGCACATGCGCGTTCACGACGCTACGGAAGCCGGCAGACCAAGCCAGATGAAAGTGCGCATTCAGCGTCTGCTCTGCCGATAATGCAAGCGTAGAAGAAGAAATGTGCTGTTTACCTGTGCAAAGAAAGAAACAACGAAAGAAAAATGTCTGAGGACTTCAGTGTTGAGGAAGAGCATGAGTTCTTTGCCGAGCTGAATGCGCACTTTCATCTGGCTTGGTCTGCTGCGGTTTCCGTAGACTCCTGAACGCGCAGGCTTGTGCTTTCAGGAAATCCTATACACTACTGTTTATGCTCTAAAAACATTCTAAATGACTTCGTTTCGAGTAAATTCTGGATGCTACCCACTCAGGACACTTGGAATACATTGGACGAGCAGTATGGAGGAATATTGACACGTTTTTTGTGGACTTTTATGGACCTTTCTACCTCGGGCGCCATAGACCTCCATTATTTGAATGTCAGCAGACAGCAAGAAGCCTCCCAGATCTCCAGATGCATTTGAGATATCAAAAAAGTACTCCAGAGTGTTGTTCAGCATGGGGGTGAGTAGAAAATGAAGGCTAATCATGTTTTGGGTGTACTATTCCTTTAATGTTATATAGCTATATTAAACGCAGAGTGTTTGAATCATTTATATCTCTTCATTTTAAAAGTTTTTGCAGGACTGCGTACTGTAGAGTAAATGACCCCAGTACTTGGTCTGAAAGCAGGTTCACCAATTCAGAAGGAAAGAGTTCTCTGAAAATGTCTGTGTGCGTCAGCTGTAGGAGCTCCGCCTCTTTTTTTTGCCCCAAAACTCTTAAGATGGACTTATATGGACTATCTTCCAATTCCTTGCAAACCTGCAGTTATCTCTGTTAATGTCTTAGCTTGTGCCTCCATACTTTTCCCTTTCACCCAACTTTCAGTTACCATGGTATCTCTGAACAGCTAGCTTTGACAATGACCTCATGCTGCTCCACCTTCTGTAAGGTGTCTCTAACCGTTTCTATAAAAGCTGTGAAGTCAGTAGTTTTCAACAGAATCCTGCAGGCTTTACTGTGATATTTGTATTAGAAATAGTGTTGCACCGATGCCATTTTTTGGCTACGATACCCGATACCTGGCTGTGCAGTATCGGCCGATACCGATACCATAATAATGTAAAATAATTGCCATCATGGCTTTGTCAAGCTGCTGCCTACCTTTGTGAAGCAGGAAAAAATCTAATACAAAGTGAATCCAGTAGAACTTTTTATTGCCTACCAGGGGTGGGTGACAATAGTTGAATAAACTTATGGCTCTCAAAATGGTATCGGTGCCCTATTTGTTGGTACTTGCCGATACCGATACCACCATTTTAGTGCTGGATCGAGGCCCCGTCTGATACTGGTATCGGTATCGGTGCAACACTAATTAGAAATACTTTTTACTGCTTTATCTAATCTTATTAGATAAATAGACTGAGTGTACAGCCTACTTTTCAATAAACTAACATTTTTTTCCAGCTTTTATTGCCACTACACGGTCACAAGTACAGCACCATGAAATTCACTCTCTGCATTTAACCCATCCCCTTGGGGAGCATTGGGCTGCCATCATGCGGCACCTGGGGAGCAGTTTGGGTTTAAGTGTCTTTGCTCAGGGACCCAGAGTGGCAGTCTGTGGGAGTGGGGGTTACACTCAGAACCAGAGGATTCCAAGCACTATACCCTAACCACAAGGGGTGAGTATTGGCATTAGTGTTGGGATACCATATGTGTCACAATACTTGGGTCACAATAATATAATATCACCATATATGTTGATATTTTTCCTGCTATCAAAATTAAAAGTATATAAGACAGCCAAAAATCATGATATATTGCATAAACTATTTTTTTCCACACCTCTACTAACCACTAGGCCGCCGCTTCCCTAACGTAGTTACAGCGAGAAGAGACTTTGTTGAAACTCTGTGGCATTTTTTCTCAAAGTCTTGCATAATTTTAAAATCCTCCCAGGGGTTAGTTAGTGGTGAATAAATACACATTCAACAAGCAACTGAATCTGTCTAGCCTACATGTCCTAATTGCATAAGATGATGGTTATCTAAACCCATTAGCAATCTCCTAGTGTTTCCCTGCTTATGTGAGGTTGTAAAAGTGAAACTGATTGTGATAAAATTAAAGCATTAATAACCTAAAGAGTCTTATTTGATAAATGTTATTATTATTTAGAGAAATCTGGTGAAATTACCTGCAACCAGTTTATAAATGTGCTGTTACTGACATCTGCATTGTAGTCCACACCCCAAAAATGTAACTCAATAAAACTCTAGCCACTGTAAGAAACCCTGCATATTTGGTCCTTTGATAACCGCACATCTTTTATTTTTTTATGCAAGCCTTGCATCCTGAAACTTCCACCTTCTTTGCATGGCATTGACTGAACCTGCTTCAACCTGACACGAAATTCACCTGCGATAGGTTGTACACAATGATGCGTGTGCTGTAACACAAAAGATAGCTATGCATAGCACACCATCCAAAATATAAAAACAAAGCACTTTTGAGGATGAGTGTCCTTTAATATATGTTTTCACAAACTTTTCGGGACCTTGAACTTCTTTCTTTTTTAAATTCAAGTTCACTCTGTTATAATCAACAAAAAGTCCAGAACTAAAAATTGAGAGAATATAGAAGGAATTGTGCAGATCTGCAGCCCTTAATGTTTTAATCTGATTTTACCTGCTGATTAGCCAAACAATATTGTCTTCAGCAATGAGTAGGGGCGCAACACGATGCCATAGAGGTAAAAACTGCAACCTAAACACCCCAAATAATCTTTGTCTTTCCCCACCAAATACAACCATTTTTACGTGTTAAGAGTTAAATCTTATTATTCTGATCAGGAATTTCTGACGTGAACATTTGGTTGAGAAAATGACAATAGTCTGTAGTCGTGATAGACAGACAAAGCTTTGGAGCCTTGAACAGTGAGACGTTCCAGGCTTTTTCAGCTCACTGGCAGCAGTTTGTCAGCTACTCCTCTACTTAGTCTTTGTTTTGGAGCTAAACATGGAAAAAGAAAAGGGACATGTTAAATCACAACTTGTCTTTTGATCACACTCCGTGATTAAGTGACCTTTTCCTCTGTATTGTTTGGTTTTGTACATTATCCTGCCCTAACATCTGGAATGTGAACACGGTCGTAGCACTGAATGTTGTCGCTCTCATTTTCCTCCACCAAACGGTTTATATTGAAAAGCCGATAAGATATATTTTCATTAGAACCTGATAAAATTCTTTAATGTCACGGAAACGTGAGTCTTAAACTGCCCCACCCTTCTGCATCTCCCTCCGGGTCTAAAGACGTGTCTTTGGCTGTTTCCTGAGCTTGTTTCTCCTCTTTGTTTCTTCTTTCGCACCCTGACCATTATCTGATACCTAAGTGCGTCAGACAATATTGTCTCTAAAGATATTAAAAAGGATTGAGAGACGAGCCGCATCTACAGGGAATTTGTTCATACAGATAATATGTGGTGTTTGCAGAGCTGGCAGATGTACAGGACACATGGCCCAGCCAAAGGCGCTGACAGCTGAAACAATGGAAAGGATGATAAAACTCCTGGAAAATAATACAGCACAGTTATTGTTCCCAGATAGATGTTCTCTGATTTATAGTAAGAACAAACAAAATGAGAGCAGACTGTTAAAATGAGGATGTTAGAGTGGGCCAGGCTAAAATACTTCACACTTTTTGTCACTTCCTGGGCACAAACTTTGATGTTTTTGTCAGGATTCTTCTGATGTTGAAGATCAACACCAGTTAGTACAAATTTGTTAAACATAAGGAAAACTATTTCCAACTTAAAATTTTGCACTTTTATTTCCCTTGAATTAATCCTGCTGAATCACCTTTTACTTTAATTACAACTACAAGACCCCACCAGCTTTGCATATCTAGAGACCTGAAATTTTATCCTTTCTTTGAAGAAAAAAGACCCAGAGTATCAGTCTGAGTTCCAACAAGGAATCCTGAGGCCTTTCCAGGACTGGAACACCTTGTCTCTAACCACTTTGCCACAACTCAACCAGAATTAAGAAGACCTTTATGGAAACGGAGCAAACCCCACCCTTCCAGCAAAGCGCCAACGCCCCTAAACTATTCAAGCAGCTCAGCTGGTTTAGATGGAGAAAATCTGTGAATAATTTTTCTGGCATTCAGCCCCTTTCATCTTCTAAAACCATTTATCTCTGCTAAAGAAAAGCTTCCCTTAGCATGATGCAGCCACAACTATGGATATGAAATACGGTTTTAATGGCTATTACAGTTAGTTTTCTGTCTTGTGACAAGTAGAGAAAATGACATATGGCTTTACTTTAACAATGTCTTTCTTCTTCACCATTCTTCCTGACCAGATTTGAGGTCTTGAAGGTTCTCCCACCTGAGCTGTGAATCTCTGCAGCTCCACCAGAGTTCATGATATTTCTAATCCTTTCAGTGCCGTGCCTGATGTCTTAAGTCAACATTTCTATTTTTAGAGGGACTGGACATTGATCAGTGAGATGTTTTAAGCTTGGAAGATTGTTTGTTTTTTGTTTTTTTTACCCAATACTGCTTGAAACCTCTTCAACACTTTTCATCCTTTTATCTGCTAAGTGTCTTTGTCTTTTTGAAAGGATTGCTAAAAATACAAATGAAATCACATGCAGTGGAGGTCTGTCAACTAATTACCCAAGTTTTTAAAACAATTTATTATCTTTACTAATTGCTATTTAATAATATTGGCTTGAAGGGAGACAAATAAAAAATGCACATGAAGCTATGGGATTTAATTTGTAAAATAAACTACCTCTATGTGTTGCTCTGTAGCATAAAATCCCACATCTGTAAAAGCTGAACCACATTTACACCAAACTGCATGCTTAAGCCAAACCAAATGGCATGAGTCGATGTTTGTGTCGAACTGATCAAGTAAAGGCAGTGGTATTTACATTGAAAACAGCCAAGCACTTGCTGTTTTTAGCACATTAACAGCAGAGTGTTAACTGGAAGCAGCCACGGACTGCTGATGATTGAATGGGAGGGGGTCGTTGGAGATAGAACCAGAACTGTAGCTGCAGAGAGAGTATGGGCTGAAAGTCAGGTGAAAAACCACTGAGAGTGAAGTTTATATGAACACCTTGTCATTTATAAATAAAAACTATGAAGAGCAAATGAATTTCAGCTTAGTGTCATGAACAGCTAAGGATTAGCGTCTTATTTATCCTTTTGTCTGCATAAAAGCTAAAGCATCACAATTTTTTTCTATGACCTTTAGAGCCTGATCTCATAAACATTGCAATTGTTTCCTTGGGGGTTATGAATAAAGTGAAAAAATAGCAACATATTTATTTCTGCTTATAATTCTTTTAAAATAGTGTCCAGTCTGCATGGTACCAAGGTTTAATTGCACTATTGACCTCGGTCAGCCAAGCACGCGGCATCCATTTAAAAATAAAACTAAAGCATACAGCGATGCAAAAGAGAAACATGAATCAGCGTCCCTCATAGCGGTGACTCTAGGTTACTTACAGGCAATTAGCTGTAAGATGCCGGTGAAGATGAACCTGTGGCCTTTGGGCAGGGTAAACAGCTGGGCCACAAACACTATCAGGGCTAAGATGGTGAAAACACACGCCAGAACCGAGGTGGCCTCTACTACCTGGAGGAAATCTGCAGTGAGACGGAGGTAAAAAAAAAAAAAACATAGATGTAACCTTTTTTTCATTAACACAGCTGAAATTAAATGTTAGTTGCATTCAAACCTGATTCTTGATCTGTGTAATCCTTTAGCTCACTGTAACGCCAGTCTGAGTTTACTAAGCTCCACTTCCCCCACAGGTCCATGTATTCAGTTTGGTTGATCCACCAGCCCTGAAAATATGAATATATGTCAGAACATGCAAGAGAACGATTGCACAGCAAATGTTGTTGAGTTTTTTTTTAGCCAGCAAAGGTTATTGCTTCCAGTTTTTTTTCCCCCTCTGATGTGTGCTTGCATAGATGTGGGCAGACCAATTCACCGTTCTCTTACAAAGCTGTTTTTTTATTGTTATTCTGTAAGCGCTGCCAAACCAGTTTTTATGTACGTGGAGGTTTGAAAATCTGCAACACAGTGGGTGGTGAAAACATATTTTGACTATTAACTTCTGCTTTCTGCACATGGCTGGCTGAGGAGAGGGAAAGGTAGTATCATATAACTGTTCTGAACTCTCAAAAATTCTGACCACAGATGTAACTTAAAGCAATTAAACAGACTTTTCTGTGAAACCCGATTGCATTTAGACAGTTAACCGCTGACAAAACAACTTGCCACAGTTCTAGTTGTTCTGCTGTGTTTTTTAGAGCTTTACTTAGTTGAAAAAATGTTTTCTTCACAATCATATTCCACGATGGCATGTGGTTAGAAGGTGAATAATCAGTTTGTTTCAATTAACCCATTTTTTTTATTTTTTCTAACACGTTTTTAAATCAAATGTCGCCTTTAAAGGCGTTCATAAGTAGATGTTTAATGCCAATCCAAAACATTAGAGCCATACTTAAAACACTGCTTGGATATAAGGGAAATTTGCCAAAAAACATTCTTGTTCCTCTAAAAAATCTAAGCAGACATAAGTTCCTCAGGTTCCTAGGCTCCATTCTTGGGTCCCTCCTGTTTGTTATCTGCATGCTCCTTTAGCTCAGATTAACAAGATCAGTTACTATAACTATACAGACAACAAACAACTTTACATTCACCATCATTTTCTCCTTTTGAATAAAAACAAAATTCGTCCGCCCGTGTTTCCAGACCAGCCCCTGAGCTCACGGCTCGGTTCTGCTGCACCGTAGTCGACCAAAATCCCGGATGATTTTGAAATTCGCCCCCGGACATTTTTTTATGTATGAATAGTAGGACATGTCCGGGAAAAAGAGGATGTCTGGTAACCGTACCATATTAACAAGTTGCTGTTTCAGTGAGTGAGTGCTTGTTGCTATGATGCATCTTTGCTCATCAACTGTGTTTGTTGTAAACCAACCAATCAGCGCACAGCTCATCTAAATATTCATGAACACACCATAAAAAGAAGAAACCTGTAGTTACATTCTAGGGCCTTTAACCAGGCTTGCTTTAGGGCTCATAGGACAGCAAATATGTAATTTTCAACCCAACCAATTAAACACCCTATTTAGAGACCTTAAGAACCAGCAGGAGTGGATTTAGGAAATGTGGGACCCTAGGCAAAGACAGGCAGGGGGCCCTCTGAATTGAGAAGACAACACATAAAACAGACCCATTCTACAGATAGAGAAATTTTATTAGAATAGACATCCATTGTTCATTCTATGTTTTGTCCCTCTCTGCTTGTCCCTTTTCTTGTTGTGTTCCTCTCTATGTTTTGTACTCAGCTGACTTTTCATGCTGTCTCAAAAGGAATCAAAGATTTTTTCCAAGCACACTTAATATTATAAGCGTTCTGATGGCATTTTAGCCAAAGGATTTTTATCAAAAACATAATAAATGCGCATAAATAAGGAATAGTTGTATTAACCATACATGGAAACAGAGTTTTATGGGGCCCCCCAGGAACTTGGGGCCCTAAGCAACTGTCTAGTATTGCCTAATGGTAAATCCCCCCCCTGAGAACCAGTAGCCCTTTATAATCATTCTATGACCCCTTAAAGTCAAAGTTAAAGACCCATTTGTTCAGACTATTGAAGTTAAACTGTTAACTGAGGTATCGTTACATTAAGGATGTGATCTGTTTTATTTACTTCTTCTTTTGTTTAATTCATGTAAAGCACTTTGAAATGTCATTGTAGTGAACTGTGCTATACAAAGAAACTTACCTTGCCTAGTGGTATACAGTTTCTTCATATTAAAGCAAAAGGTCACTTCTTTGTAGAGACTATGACCTTAAATGCTATCTATTAATATGAGACCTTACCTAATTTGAAGACTCTTATTTTGAAGTAAGAACAGAAGCTGTTTTAAGACCATAACATTAACAATCCACAACTAAAAACTTGTATAATTGGATTATCGCAGCTAGCAAACTAAGCGGACATGGACACAACATGGAGCGGACTGTTAAAAGCCAAATACAAGGATACGAATCCTAACCAGTATCTGATATATTTAGACTGATACAAGAAGTGGAATATCTAATCTAAACAAATATTATTTTAAAAAGTTGATGAAAATATTTGCTAATGCCAGCTGATCAGCTTGCAGTGCTTGTCCTTTACTCTCAGGGTAATCATACAGGTTTTATTTTGTTTATGTTTTCAGAATGGAGTCGAATCCTACAGCTTAAGTCGTTCTCTCTATGCATCATAACAAGCAGCAGGTTGTTCTTGGTTGGTTTCATCACGACATAATTAATAAAAGTCAACTGGTCCACAAGAATCAGATCCCAAATCAATGCAAATGTATTAGTGAAGAAGTCTTGAGGAAATCAATGCACAATTAAACTTGAATTATGGGTTTAATTTGAACATTTTTATGACTATCTTCAACGTTCATATGAAACTGTCACTAGTGATAAAATTAAACTTAAAGACGGAGATTTAGGCACATGACAGCAATGTTCACAGCTCATTTGCTCTGTCTCAAATCAATTCTCAAATCACACACACACACAAAAAATCAACATATACATGCTATCTATTCCACTTATAGAACTGCACTGTTGTATTTGAGGAATACAGCTTCTATTGTTCTTAGGCCAGGATCCACATTTGAACAATTGTATGTATTTGTTTTAACTTTATCTACAAGTACCTTTAAATCTTTAAGCATTTGTAATTATTTTCAAACATTTCCTTTATTCTGAAACAAACAATATTGAGTTGGCTTAAATTATTTAGAGAATTAATATACCCGGATGTGTTATCAATTACATTTATAAATTTGATTTATTTTCAGGGAAAAATAAGTTAAATAAAACCTCTACTTTAAAACACAAAATATATTTTTTTTTTTATTATTTGGACGGATTGAAACCTTTGTTGTTAAGTCTAATCAGTATGTAAAGATTTACAGTAAGTTATTTGCTCTATGGTGGTGCAGTTTGTAGCCCTGCTGCCTTGCAGCAAGCCGGTCGTAGGTTCAATTCCTGGCTCTTTCTCTGGAGTTTGCACGTTTGCACTCTTGATTTATCAACCAGTGACATCAGTGGACTGGGAGCCATTTATGGTCCACCTGTTCCTGCTAGCTGCCTGATAGTATTGACCACACAATTAAATAAATTTGGAACACATCAAACCACGACACTGAGCATCAGATTAAGCTAGCTAATGCATTATTACTAACTTAGTAATCTATTAATCATTAACCAGAGTATAGAGACTCTATAACATGAGCAACCAATATAGAGCAGTAATTATATCAAAATTGTTTTAAAAAATTATATAAACATTTTACATTTAAGATAAAGAAAAAGGTTTCATCCATCAATATGCTTTATCCATTTTAGATTCAATTGGTTGAAATTGTGTAAGAAATTAACAAAAATACAATTGACAGATTAATCAATTAGCAAAATGAACATTAGTTACAGCCCTCCGTGACAAAAAGATTGTTTCTTAAGACTCAAGATTCAGACCATATGTTTTCAATCTTCAACTCCAACAGGGTTTGTAGTGACTATTTGTACAAAACTAAAATTCGAAATTCAAAAAACTTAAAAAGTGATCAAAGCAAAAGGTGATTTTAACTCTAAAAGCCACCTGATGCACCTTGGATTCTGGCTAACACAGTCCAAAAAGATTAAAAAGGGTCAAAATCCAGTTCTTTGCTTGCTTTATTCTGCGTTCAGACGTTACAGGCTTCACAGGATTCTTCTATTGCTCTCACTCTGATTCCTGCACCTGTTCTTTGATTGACTGACTGAATACTGACAACTGGTAAAAAAAAAAAGAAAAAGAAAAAACATGACTACCCACATGCATAATGAGCTACCTAAGACCTACCTATTTATAATGTGAAACACCCACATCCCAAGCTAAAATTAATTAGCAAATTAACTAAACAAATCTTATTCTAAATAACAAATCAAACTAAATCATCTAATTTCTAAGATTTAACTGAAAATGGAGAAATAGCTCCTGCAGGGTTATTTTCTTTATTCACTATTGCTAAAATTAAATAATGGGTAAAAAAAAAAAAAAAAAGGAAAAGAAGGACAGCAAGTAAAAATAAATAGGGAGTATAGATGTGTGATACTGAGAGCCATCAGTCTGGTTCTTGTGTCTCTTGTGATTCCATCAACTCAATTAAAGCAAAATTTGGGCGTTTGTTTTTTTTTCAAACTTCAACAGAGAGCATATATAGATGACCCAGCATAGTTTGCATCATGTTTGGATTGATTAGCAGAAAAAAATGTAATCTCTGGAGAGCATCTTTAGAGTGATAAAAGAAGGGGAAAACAAAACACTCACGTTATCAATAGTGGCCACCAGGAGCAGGATGATGGTGGTTATGTGCAAACCGACGATCCCTACCAGCACCAACATTGTGACCCTGTGAAAACTGAAAAATGAGAGGAATGTGAAAAGACGCACATCTTTGCTTTTCTTCCAATCACATGAGCTTTATGGGACGCATCAATTAAGACACAGCACGAGTTCCAATAAAACCATTAAACACTGACAAAACAGAGGGGAAGGGATCCGTTACATGCGAGTCTCAGCACGCCCTGCGAGTCAGGGGGGATTTTTCAAAAACATCTGGAGTCAGACACGTCGCACCAAAGCGCCTCTCTTTACAGCTCTTTATTTATTTTTCTCCAAACCCAACTCTGGTCTAATGATATCCTAATGAAAACCAAAGATCTCCGCTTATTATGTAGAGTTTTTTCAGTGCTTTCCGCTGAGAAAAGCGCGTTTGTTTGGACGTGTTTGGGCATTCCCAAACAGGACCCACTCAATTACACACCAACACACCCCTACCCACACACACATACACACACACACACACAGGCCCAGCAGCCAACAACTTTAAAAAGAGCGCGAGAATCCAGCAACATGTAAACGCACAACTAAAACTTGCGCAAAAGTAACAAGAACTGCGTAAAAAGCGCGGCCGCTGCACCTCTTTGACGCATTTGTTGCGCGCTTTTTTTCAACGATCCCTTTAATTATTTTATTGCAACTCGCTCATCAAAAGTCATCCCTGTTTTTAAAGATAAAAAAGAAAATGATAACTTAGTGTCACAGATTCGGTACTTTGAATAAATGGAATAAATTTACCTGGAAGCTCTTAAAGTCTCGGCGCAGCCGCTGCTTGGGAATGTGTAAAAAAGTGTGTCCCCACCCTGTCTCTAATTCTTAGCACACACTTCTCCCTCTTTTCTCACTCCCTTTACACTTCTTCCCTCTCCCCCTACTAAGCTCCACCCAAAAAGTCTCAAATGTAGCTTTTCAGTAAGAGGAAAAAAGCTCAGAACACGGAAACGCCTCAATGTTGCGCTTTAAAGTGAGCGTAAAATACGCATCGGACCTCAAAGTCTCAACAATGTTATGAGAAAGTGTTAAAAAAAATGTTCAATCCTCTTTTCCCTTTTGGTGAGCTACCTACCTCTCAGTCTCCCACTTTGGAGTTGGTAGTAACCCAAGAAGAATGGAGCTCCAGGGATCCTATGGTTTATACAACCACAGTTGCACCCTGAGGGGACGAATGCATAGACAAAAACAAGAGCAAAAAGTAATGCACATCTTTCAGCAACTGGACAGCTGTTTCTAGCTTCCACAAAACCATAATCAAGCTGAAAAAACATCCCCACAGCATGATCCTGCTAACACTATGTTTTGTCTAAAGCAGGGGTGCTCAAGTCCAGATGCATCTCTTCTCTAACACACCTGAATCAAAAGGCTCAATCCTCTCATGTAGCTCAGCAGAGGCACAGTAACCAGCCACTCATCTGATTCCGGTGTGTTAAAAATGGTTGCATCAAAAAGTTGCAGGATAGTAGCTCTTGAGGACTGGACTTGAGCACCCTTGGTCTATAGGGATGATGTGCAGACCATAGATCAGTGTTTTTCAAGCCTGGTCCTCAAGGCACCCTGCTCTGCATGTTTTGGATGTTTCTGAGGTTCAGCAAACCTGATTCAGATGATTGCAGTTCAGCAAAGCCCGATAACCTGCTATCAATTGATAACAGGTGTGTGAAAGCTGGGAAACATCTAAAACATGCAGGGCAGGGTGCCTTGAGGACCAGGGTTGAAAAACACTGCCATAGATGACTACATAGCCAAGCTGGAATTACTTCATGGAAACTTGTTTTAGGTTAAGAATTTCTAGAATGATGTTACAGTCTTTTTAATAAATCCACTGTATATAACTGCTTATTTATACACGATCGAAAAGGAACAATCCCCGATTATACCTGAGGACAGTTTAGAGCATCGGCGTCGCCAGACCCCATTTACTGGGGCACGTGCCCGAGTATAAATGAGCTGTGCCCCAGTATAAATCTCATGAATATTTGCAACAGTATTACATTTTTTAATGCATCAATTTAGATAATTCCAACGTGCAGCAAGTGTGTCGTTAACTCCAAATTGAGGATGTATTAGCGCCCCCACGTCAGCGCATGTCATTGCATGAACTGCAGGTAAATTAACGCGCTGCTCTCAACTGAGTTGGATGGGACACTGTGCGGCCGCGACGCATTTTTAGTTCTGGTAATGTTTCTTACCTGTCAATTTTATTATTTTCCCAGTGAAACCACATGATTTATAGGCTACTAACTGAAAATGACTGCATTGGTTTGTAGATTGACATCAGAAAATTCCTCACACGAAGCAGAGACAGGGAAGCAGTAAAACAAGATGAGAGAGAGGGAGGTAAGGTCCCGTAATGAATTAGTGATTTAAGCTAAGCAGTTACATTAGGGACGTTATAAGCAATATGATTGATATTTACATAATTATAGATTTACGTTTTTTTAATGTTTGCTGTAGAGAATGAGAATGAAGGTGCTGGAGTAGGAAAGGGAGGATGAGGCGAGACTGACAGGCAAGAGACAGGTGAGAGACAGGAGATACAGGACCATGAAGGTGATGAGGGAGCAACAACCAGCCTCCACAAATAAGAAGGGGACATTAGTGACTTAGGGGGAAAGCATGATGGTCCTAAACAAGTGAAGTTATCCCACTATCCAGAGCACAAATTTGGAGTAAAAAAACGTTTGTTTAATTCAAAATGGTTTGAAAGCTTTTTATGGTTGAAAAAGAAAGCCTTGTCATCAAGGATATGCAGTGTGTTTTCAACTTGCTTGATAACATCATATTCCCAACACTAACGCAGGTCATCCAGATCTCCCTCACAATCACAATCAATAGCTGTAGTTGTGAAAGGTCATTCAGTGTGTTGAGAAGGTTCCACACTTGGCTGAGGTGCACAATGGGACAAGACTGGCTCCATCATCTGGCTATTTTATCAGTTGAAAAGGAAGAACTTTCTAAGCTGAGTCACAGTCAAGTGATTGACCACTTTGCAAAAATGATAAATAGGAGGTACACTTTAATGCTCAAAAAATTAACTCATCCTGAACTTAGTTCAGGATGAGTTAACATTTCCCCCTAACTAAAACTCTGAAACCTAGAAATTAATGATTACTTCAGAATGTGTATAAGGAAACGTTTTATTTTTAAAGTTGGTGATGTCTTATTTTTTTATAGCTGCAATGTTGAAAATGTTCATGTTTGTTAAAACAAATATGCTCTTGCACTTATTAATATCTCAACTGGTAATTTTGGTAGGAATGTATCAGGGTTGGGCAGTGTGCTTGTCTGTATTTATGTATGGAAGGAGGGGCATATGCACTAGGGGGCCAGTGCCCCAGTGTGCCTAGCAACGCCCCTGGTTTAGAGTGGAGTTGATCTAACTTTTGTGTTGTGGACCGTGACAGGATGCATACCCAGATAGAAACAGCATGCATATAAATGCACAGAGATAACATGTAAACACCAGGAAAAATCTGTCAGGGATTCTTTTAATGCCAGCAGTGTTAAGAACTTCACTAAGCTCCAGCTAAGTAGTAAGCTAGACTTTAAGAGATGTGATCAAGGGTTTAAAGGCATCTGTAAATAATTATAAATCTGTAAGATAGCATGTCTTGCACCTTTGCTATTTATAAAAGAAAAGTACACAGTTTCTGCCATGCATGGGTGATTAAAAAGAAAATATTCCTAATGAAATAAGCATATGTGAAATGTTTTCATGTAATGTTTTTTTAAGCACTCCATTAGTAAAAAAATTGTTGCTAGTAAGATTGGACACAAAATTAACAACATATTTATTCAGGAAGGGAGAAGCTGTTAGGAAAGCTTCTAAATCTTGATCCTATTGACTGACTACTGAGGGTTTGCATAAATACGACGGCAAGACCTCTCTCTGTTTTGCATTCTCAAAATGATGTAATCAGCAAAGACAGAGATTCTTTGTCTTGTAGCACCGGTAGACAAGTTATGTTAAGTAATACGTTTAGATTTTAAGAGCAAAAATAGCAGAAATATTTCAGATTACTTTGAAGTGGGGCTCTGGGAAAACATCAGGGGCAGTAGACTTTTTACTTGATCTCTGTTACCTGATAAAACAGCGATCGGCTTCAGAGTTAATCTGAGTTTAACACATTTCTTTTCACAGTTTACATTCAGATGAGAGACAGCTTTAGAGTAGATACCCATAGAAATCCATTTTTAATAATCATCTACTGTTTTGTGACAGCAGTGGAGGAAGTTAAGAGATAAAAAATGTATGAAGTGTGAAATGCCTGGGGTCATTATCGCTCTAAGAATGTGGTTCAGGGGGGCAGCAGTAATGCTAGTTCGTGCATGTTTCCCACCTGAATTCGTCAGAGGAACAAATATTTGTTGAAGAGATGATAATTATAGCTGTAAGCTGCTCAGCGTATGACATAGCATGCATTGAAGAGATTTTTTAACGTTCAGCATCTACGGTTGATCGGAATTGGATTATGCAACAACCATATTTATTAGTTCATCGAGGGTGTCAACAGAGTTAGGAAGAAATGCTAAATGCTTTGAAAGAAATGCTTTCTTAGGAAGAAAGTACTAAACTACTGCGTTAGGATATAAACATTTGAACAATTCTCATCAGAGAATTGTTCAAATGAAACAGTGGGTAGCGCTGCTGCCTTGCAGCAAGAAGATTCCTGGTTCAATTCCTGGTCCAGGGTATTTCTGCGCTGGAGTTTGCATATTCTCCCTGTGCATGTGTGGGTTCTCTCTTGGTACTCTGGTTTCCTCCTGAAGTCCAAAAACATGATTGTTAGGTTAAATAGCTTCTCTAAATTCTCCTTTGGTGTGAGTGTGAATGGCTGTTTGTCCTGTTTGTCTCTCTGTTGCCATGTGATAGACTTTTGACCCCAGCAGGGATAAGTGTGACGGAAGATGGATGCATGCAGGTTTTCTTTCTTTCTTTTCTTTAAATTCAATTTAATTTTAGTTATTTGGTATATCTCTTCTTTTAGATCCCTCTGTATTTGTCCCTCCATAAACTCTGAGTAGCCCCACTGTCTCTGTTAAAGAAAAGCATTCCCAAACTGTAAAGGCTCTAAAATTGTATCATCAAAATGTTTGTTATATTTAAAATCTGAATCTTTTTTCTACAGCAAAGAGTGGGCCCAACTTCCATATTTACAATCCCTACAGAGTTGCACCATATATGGTCGCAGCTCAGGATGTCTCTGACAACCACACACTTCGTCCCAGTGAAAGGCATTAAAGTTTGTGCTTGCAGTGGGATAAAATGTTTGAAAGTTTTAGGGGTATAAATGTAATTGCAAGGAGCTTTCAGAACATTCCTCAATCAAGCCTGGTGTCTGCTGGTCTTCTCTGAAGGTCTTCATTAAATAGAAGAATCATCCTCTCAGACAGAGAATGACAGTTATTACGTCTCTTGCCTCTGAGCTGGCCAGCATTCCTCATTGTTTTGGAACATCTATGTTTACCCCATAAGCACCAAGCCACAAAGTTTCTAAAATACCCAGAGGCCCTTTTTTTTATTCACCTTGAAGAAATAGGTCTATATATTGGAAAAGACAGTAGGTGTTCAAGTTAACTCTGCTTTTTAGCATTTAAACTCAATTTATACAGTTCTATTAAAGACATAAAAAATCAGCTGCTAGTAAAATAAATTGAAATTTACATCAGTAATAATAAATAAAACATTATTTAAAAAATGGAAATCATCTTACTGATTTTGAATAAATATTAAAGCTTGAACTTTTATTTTTGATAAAGCTTATAGTTAGAGTGGCTCAGGTTATCCAGCGCTATCTCTATAGTTATGCTGCTATAGGCTTAGACAGTGGATACATGCGGATGCTGTGCCTGGACTTCAGCTCAGCTTTCAACATCGTCTTCCCACAGCA